TCAATTGGAGACACAACAACAGCAGAAGTGAGTATAGTAAATATCATAGCAACAACTAGTGGAAGCTACTTAACACAACAACCAAGAGCGTACCAAATTCTCAACATGTCAGAACATCATGTCTTATAACTCTTCACAGTAGTCGAGTCTAGAACAGGGACTTCCCCTCAAAACTTTCCAAGTAATAACATATTCTCGCTCTCAACAAGTAACTGTTAGATCACACACTCACTCCCCATTTTTAGCCATAATATGACAAAGGTATAGTATCCCCAAAAGGACCATAGAGGCACAAAAAATTAAGTGACACACACAATGAACAAAAAAAGTTTGGGTATCATGACCCTTATAGATCCGGAAACCAAATATAAACAAAGTAGCAAACACAAAAATCAAAAGACATAAGTAAACAGATTATGCATCAGCATCTTCATCATCAGCAGACTCATACGTCTCTCCTTATTCACTAGCATTGTCACCACTAGAAGCACACTCACCAATTTCATAATCATCTGAGGCACTATGATTACTAGCCGCATCATCATCATCAGACGCAGTCTTTTCAGTAATAATGTCATCTTCAGTTTCTTTACTTCCATAATCAGTATTGTTAGCAGTATCACTACCATGTCCAGTCTAGTTCTTCTCTTCCTCCATCAAGACCTTGATTAATCCTTCAAGTTTTATCTTCCTAGCAGAGCTAGTCTTGATGATTGCATCTAACTCCCTGCAAGTATCCTTCAGAAGAGCAATAGTTCTTGCCTTGGAGGTTTCAGGGCCAGGTGCCTGAGAAGATGTCCCAACAATGTCTTGGACATGTTCACCCCTAAATAACTTATAGTGTAAGGTCAAATGATATTCCCTTTTATTTACATCTAAAATGATAATAAGATTCCATGGTGTTGATTTGTGACTATTCCACAAATGAGAGAAGGAAAACAGATTGGAAACTTCAGAGCATTTGATGATGCTTGCTTTAAGACTTGATAAAAATGTATTTTCTAAACTCAAATACTTTTTCCTTTCCAATGGAAAATATGAATTTTCCAAGCCCAGTGGAGATAGTGGAGGTATGATTTATGGGAACCCAATTTATAGTAGCCACCATGTGAAGAATGACATACTTCACACTAAGCTTGCCAGAGGATAACTTCCCCTCTTTTGGCCAACTCTTTACCTTACCACCAGTGATTTCTCTGCACACTTCATTATTTGAAGTCTCTAGTTCAGCTTGAGGCTCCTCAGATCTGCCTAGAAATTTGTTGATCACAATGGGAGAGAAGGTCACAATATTGCCCCTAACATATACCTTCATGTGATCTTCAATCCCCACCATATCACAGCCATAAGGTATATTTACCATAAACTCCTTCACCAGTCTTTCGTAGCAAGGGCTAAAGCTTGAGACAATTTTCATTAGACCAACCACCTCTATAAGTTTTACGACATGTTTGCATTTTTGAAAGTCCTTGCCTAATTCCCTTTCCAAGGCTAATCTTCTTTGCACTATGTTCTTACATTTATCAACATTTTGTTTAGCATGAAAGATTACCTTATCCTAAGAAATTTTATGAACATCAACACAGGTCTTCTTAGATGCAGACCTTTTGATGGGAATTATGTCCTGGACATCCTCCTCAACATCAAAGTCAGAGTCACTAGAACTCATAACTTTTCTTTTCTTAGAGGGAACATCAACTTTACTCCAAGGTTTTGAAGGACCGGCTTGAGGTTTACCCTTGGCAGTTCTAGAAGGAGTACTCTTCTCATCACCAGATTTCCTTTTATTTTCCTTAGAAATGGAACCTTCAACCATCACAGTCTTTTCTTTCCTTCTTTGAAGTCTTTTTACCATTCTAGAAGGCAAGTTTTTGGTTATAGGTTCCTCATTAGATGTCAGCTCATCAACATCGATAACCATATCTTCCTTCTTCTTACTTCTTCTTTCACGGGCAAGAAGTTCAAAATCAACATCAACAGTCTTCCCACCAGTATCTTATCTTCCTTAGTCTCAACTACTTTTGGAAGAGATGTTTGAACATCAGGTTCAACATCTGGACAGACTTCATCCAATACAGCAACAACAAACTTCCTAAGTTCTTTATCGACAACATTCTTTCTATGTTTAGACTTATTCTTATCACCGGTGAAGGATCCAGAGGGATTTGTTCTTTCAGTCTTACTTAACCTAGATTCTCTATCAGTCTTAGTGGGAGACATAGATGACTTACCAGAAGTCTTGACATTGTCAGCAACAAAAGACCTTCCTTCCCTATGAAATTGAGGATGAGCGGTGGATCGAGGAACAACATCTAACACCAGATCATATAGATTGATCATTTGGAAGGATTCCTCAGCCCTAACATTTGGGGAAGATGACCGTAGATCTTCAGATGTTGCATGTTGTTGCACCACGAAAAAACACAGTCGCCACCAAATTATATTTATCCCGAAGGAAGGGAAATATCGAGAAAACCCCAAAAGAAAGGATAAGATGGTCTCACAACCAAGAGAAGGGTATGAAAGTCGATTATGCAAGGGGAAAGTATTAGCACCCCTTGCATTTGTTGTACTAAACTGACCCACTTTAATTGTTTCTAATGATGTGTTATATCTAAGGCTTACTTGCTAAGAAATGCATGAGTGAATTGCTTAACAAAAAATAAATTTTTTCTTTTTATTATTGCACCCACCATGGTTGCGAACCTTTGTATCTACGTATCCCCTTCGTGCAATGAGAGATCAGGGCACTCGTAGTTCACCTCAAAGATTTTGGTTTGTTGTGTATTTTTTTATGGGTGACGAACCCTTTTGAAACGATTTTGAGTTACGCCTTCAAGGCAAGGTGTCACGTTTGATTTGTTTGTGTTTTGTTATTGTGGAAATTGATGAAGAATTGTTGGAATCTGATTATGAATGCCTAAGCACCCGACTTATGGATAATATGAAGGATGTACACAAGCAACCCTAAGGATGAAGGTGGGAGAAAGAAGTTCAAATACTTGTTTTTGAAAATAAACTTGGCGTTGGACCAAGCTTTTGTTTTGCCTTTATTCTTGAAACTGTTTTCTACTTGTTTGATTTGATCTTTTTTAGCATGCATTTCATACAATCAATCAATCATACAAGCATACATCCTACACTATTACATTTTTCATGGGGATGAGAGACATTTTCCCACTTTGGGGAGATGGAACACTTCTACAATATTACAATTGTTCAAAAGAATTTAAAAGCAAAATTTAAGCGATTAAAAATACAACAAATATAATAACAAGATAATATCCAAGGAGGGTGATCCAAGGCCTCAAAAGTATACCTCAAAACAATAGCAAACGATTAGTAACAATGCATGCATAGAATGCTGCATGAGATGAGGTAGAAATATGAATAAGAATTCATCAAAACAAAAGCTTAAAAACCCTAGAAATCGTAATACAATTCAAAGAGAATTCAAACAATTTATTGAACATTTTATGAACAGAAATATAATACCAAAAATTCATCATTTAGATCAGAACCCAAACACATTAAAAATTCAAAATTATTGTCAAAGATTGCATCAAAACTCGATCAACAGTTTTATAAACTTCATGAATATTCAAGGGAATTGGGAATCAATTTCAAGCGCTTTTTTATAAGATTTTCATGACTAAGATCAGGGAAAAACAATTAACCACATTCCTAAAGTCCAGGAACTCCTATCTAATCAGCCATCATGCCAAGAATATTGAGTCATACAAGAGGAATCGACAAAAGTATTAAGAAATTTAATTTCTAATAAATTTCAACATTAATCAAATTAAATCCAAAACTATTGGAAAAATCATGAAAAATTATATCTAAGTCAGAAACTTCAAGAAATCAAGAGTAAAATTAAAGAAACAGCATGAGGTGTAAGGATCACGATAGAAGAGTGAATAGCAGGCCTAATCGCAACTAAGCCCAGGCGCACTCATCATTCAATCCAATGCCGTTTTCTGTTTTTTACTTGTTTATTGTACATCGAATTCAAATGAATTAAAATATCTATAAAGTTCAAAAACGCTGCGTTTAATACCTCTCATGTTATATGACCTTTCAGCTCACTTCAAATCTAGTTCTCTTTCTTATCTAAACAAGACGCCACCGCGCCGGCACGCCTTACTGCGGCGGCTGCGGCGGTCGTAACCGGGAAACATAAACCGAGAACACCATCTGCTTCGTCTCCCTCCCCTCGTCTCAAATCTAGCCTCGGTTCCCTCTAATTTCTTTTCAGTCCTTCTGAATCTAAGTCACAAGAAAACCTAAAAATCTTGAAAACTAAATTAGATGCTTATGGCGTACGATCTCAAAGCGAGGCCTTAGGGGAGTTGATCGAGGACGCCTACTCTACATAGTGGTGTAATGAAATAAACGGAAACCAGTGCTCAACAACCTACCTCGACGGCGATAGCGATGGCTTGAGTTCAGGTACGTATTCCTCTTTGTCCTCTTCACTTTTTCTTCTTGATTCTTCTACTTCTATCCTCTTCGTCTTTTCCGATCCTTCTATCTTCTATGATTTCTTCGTTCGTTTTCTTTGCGTCTCGTCGTTGTTCCGCTGTTGTTGATCGTGCGAGAACTTGAGCGCTGAGGGCGATATTTGCATTTGAAGATTGCAGAGACGATGAGTGTTTTAGGTAATGGAAGAACGGCGAGGATGGAGGTTAAGAGCGGAGGAGTATGGTTGCAGTGATGAAGAGTATATGTGGTTGTCGAATTCTTTTTGATTTTAGAAGCTTGCTTTGTAGCTTGTATAATTCTGTGTAGTGATGCCAAGTTGCCGAACACAAAGATCTTGAAGCATGGTTGAAAATACTTGAAGCAATCTCAAGAATAAGTTCAAGCTCAGTGTCCATATAGGAATTCTTGTTGTATGTAAACAGTGGAATGTAAATGGAAGTAGTGTAATGACTTGGAGTATTCTTGAATTTGTATTAGAACTTGGATAAATTGATTGAATAAAATGCTTTGGTTCATTATTTGAAACCTTGAATGGTGTTCATATAATCCATGGCATACAAAGCCTTTTGCCAATATATGAAACTTGAGTAGATCATGTAATCCCAAATTGAATCACCATGTTCCAAGGCCTTTACATGAATTGAATCACATACTTTGAACCTTAGAATTTTGTCCATTAAACTTTGGGCTTTATCTTGAGATAATTACATGAAGTCCATAAAGACATAACTTGTACCACAAATAGGCCAATTACCTAGATGAAATGCCTTGCACTAAGTGTCTATAAACTCTAATTTGTCATGAATACATTGAGGTTGCTTCAATAGCTTTCATTTTAAACCATGGTTAAAGCTTTTTCTTTGTAACTTGCTTTTCAAAAATACTCAAATAAACCTTCCAACCTTGTATGCTTAAGAACTTTGATTCCTTTAGGATAATTTGAACTCAAACCAACTTGTATTGCAAGTAATAAGTACCAATGATGAGAACAAAAATGGCCTTAATGAAAATACATCCACAATTTTATCTCTTGTAACATTATTCATTCTTTACCATTTAATTCACAAGCCTCTTGACTTAATAACCAATACCATATCAATGCCTTGAAAAACCCTTGAGAAATGTATATGGAAATATGTATGACCAAGATAGCTTTGACATGAGAATTTAATAAACCTCGGTTGATGAATATCGCAAGCTCAAATATGATGCTATGTAAGCCCCAATTCTTGATGCTCTTGTAGTGACTTGATGACAAAAGAAGCTTCACACATAACCCTAGTTCCACAAATCCTAATTGATGAAGAACCAGTTGAAACACACTTGAGTGAAGATGAGAGCTTAAAAGCACAGATAAACCTTAACCCCTCAATATCCTTGATTCCATGCTAAATTTGTTGATTAATGATGCATGATGTGTTAAATGATCTAATGGAGGACATGTAGATGAAATGAGAAGTGCAAGATGCGTAAGCCCCAGATAAAAGTAAAAGGGTAGGATAAATTTGGGGTATGACACATATATGTGATCAGAAGAAGAATGTTGAGACATCTTTGAGTTTCTTTGGAACTGAAGAGATGTTGCAATGAACAATTTGATAGAAGACTCGGTTTTTGAACGAGAAAACAAAAGGAATATTGGAGCGAGGGCTTTGGTAAGGATAGTGGACTTTAGTCACATTTTGTCTTAATAGGCTAGGGCAAATGTGAGAGTGGATATTATAAAGTTTGATATTTTTATTTACCCACATAAACTGCAGTAATTGATATAGATTCTCATAACTATCAGAATCAAGTATTCCTTTTAACTTATTAAATTTTACATCCTCCAAGTCTTCCGCAACAATATCAATAGAAGGCATTATATTGTCTTCAGCAGTCCCTCTCTTGAGATGATGTCTAATGGGCTTAGACCTGCCATACTAAATTAACCGTTTATAACTGTTGACCCCAACATTCAAGTTGTCCCATAGTGATGTCACGATATCTTTTGTAACATTGTGCTCATACACCATTTGTTCATCAAGAGGTTGTACCACAATGTCATCACCACTTCTGAGCTTTACTTCTTTTGTATTACACTTGTTAATGCTTCTGACATTTTCATTGGATAGACTTTTCCCAAATTTCTCCATACTCAAATGTCCCAGCTTATCAGTACCCTTTATTTCACCTTTTGATTCATTTTTAGAAGTGATTTTGTTTGGGGAACGTGGTTTAAAGTCCACCAAGATATTCTCGACACCAGCCATGTGTCTGGAGAAATTACTATCAAGGTGTCAATCTTCTCTGACAGGGGCTTTGAGAGAGTTGTGAGTTATGATCCTAGAAGTACCGTTTTTAGGAATCCACTCCTTCTTAGCTTTGATAGAGGTCTATTCTCTTTTGGCTTGAGCACCGGATTTAAGATAACCATATAATCTGTAACAATAAGGTTTTATATGACCAAACCTTCCATAGTGATGACATCTCCATCTTTGAAACTTGTGCCCTGAGTGGTTACTCTGATATCTTTGCTGATGTTGGGACATTTAATTTGACAATTTTTGTTCCTGCTTCACTTTTGCTTTAACAAAACTTATTTCAGACTTCTTTTCTTTGTTCTTCAAAACCTGGCTATCAAAACCAATCCCTCTGACATTTCCAGTATTCTTTCCAGATTGAAGGATCTCATCCAGAACATCAAAACTATTGTTAAGCATTCTCACAATTTTAGTCATATTGTCAATTTGAGATTTGAGCAATATAACTTCACCCTCCAAGCCAGAGATAGTGGACAAGTGCTCCACTTTTTTAGCCTTCAGGCCATAGATGATAGAGATGTGCTCCACTTTTTCAGACTGTAATTGAGTTATAATTTTCTTTTGATTTTCTCCTAATTGACACACCTCTTCACTTTTGAGACACAATTCCTTGTAAGAGGAAGCAAGATCTTTAAAGGTCAGTTCTTCACAATAAGAGTCTTCATCAGAGTCATAGATACCAGTCAAGGCAGTGACCTGTTTGACAACTTCTTCTTCAGGATCATTCTCATAGTATTTTTCAAACCAAGATGCAGTCAAACTCTTTTTCTGCTTATTGAGATAAGTTGGACATTTAGTTCTCATGTGTCCAAAACCTTTACATTCATGACATTTAACTCCTTTTCCTTGGTTAGTCTCTTCTTCAGTCTTGAGCCTTCTCCTGAAGTCCTGATTTTTGTTGATGTCTGGTGACTTATTCTGGACATTTCATCTGGACTTCCAGTCCATATTCTTCATCACGTTGTTGAATTTTCTCCCAAGTATCACTAGAGCTTTAGATATTCCTTCATTTGTATCCAAGTTACACTCACCTTCTAGGTCATCAGTATTAGAGATGAAGTCAATACTCTTATTCTTTTCAGATCTCTCACTGATCCCTAACTCAAAGTTTTGTAGGGATCCCATGAGCTCATCAACCTTCATGTTTTTTTATGTCTTGAGCTTCTTCAATGGAAGTCACTTTCATGTCAAACCTCTTTGGAAGAGATCTGAGAATCTTTCTCACCAGCTTGGCTTCTGATATCTTCTCCCCTAGGGAACCCGAGGCATTGGCTATCTATATAATATTCATGTGAAAGTCATGAATACTTTCATCCTCCTTCATTCTTAAATTTTCAAACTGAGTAGTAAGAAGTTGAAGTCTTGACATTTTCACCTTAGAGGTTCCTTCATGAGCAGTCTTCAAGATCTCCTAATCTTATTTGGCCGTAGTAAAATTACTTATTAGCCTGAAGATATTATTGTGCACTCTATTGAATAGGGCATTCAATGCTTTGAAGTTTCCCTTTGATGATTTTTCATCTTTATCATCCCAGTCTTCCACGACCTTCACAACACCAGTAACCTTCCCATCCATACCTACAACCTTTGGTGGATCCTATCCCTTGACCACCACTTTTCAAGCCTTGTTCCGTAGATTTGATAAAGGCCACCATACAAACTTTTCAATAGTCGTAGTTGGTTCCATCAAGAATGAGTGGTCTGTTCATAAATCCTCCTTCTTTGTCCATTGTACCAGAAAATAACTTCCCTGAATCTCACCCTGAGTCAGAGCAAGATGTCTGCTCTGATACCAATTGAAATTTTGGTAGTTATATCACATATGTCCTAAGAGATGATGAGACACCTTTCTTTGAACAAACATATAATGACAAGATAAATGATAAACAAGGTGCTAAAAAGTAAAGAACACACATGATTGTTAACCCAGTTTGGTGTACAATAATACCTACTATAGGAGATACCAAGTCAGGGACAAAATCAACTAGATAATATCAATTTGAAGCAAAAATCCCCTGTTTACAACTTCGCACTTAATCACTACCCTTGATTAACTTCTATCTAAGACTCTTCTAGGTATGAGACCCTTCTCAAATCCCTTCCAATCACATACCAGTGACTGAACAATTCTAAACACTTAGAAAATAACATAAGTCACACTTCAAAGACACACAATCATTCACTACTTAAAAGCTTTGGAATGACTGACAGAACTTACAACTCAAAATCAAAGTCCTACTTTTTCATCAAGATGATAATTGATAGGCTTACAATTAACACACAAACCCTAATAAAAATACAGAGTAAGTTCCACACTTGTACTAGGGTTGAAGCCTTCTATTTATAATCTTCAATGAATTATATTTGGGCTTCACATATACAACTGGATATGATATAGGCGCTGCAGAGTTATCTCCTCAAAGATATGACATCAATCATTAGTTTCCTAAATTATATCTATAATTAGAAACTAACAGTTCTCTTTGAAATCAACTTGAATCTTTTTAATCTTCTAATTATGCGTCACATAGGATAACATATATTCACAGAATATTCGGCACCTATAACAAACTAAAATATCTAACAATTCAATTGTACACAATCACAATGTCGAAATAAATTGCATAGGACATTGCATTCGACATGTTGCTCCAGTTGATAGAACATATTCATCCAACATGTCCATGCTAAGTTAGTCTTACCAAACATAATGTCAATCACAATGAAACAGAGAATTAACATATTCAATGGGTACAAAAACTTGTTAGGTTGGTTGGTCAGGAGGTTGTTGGTACAGAGGAACCTCCATTGGAAAAGGAAACAAGACAATTTTAACTCTTCCTTTGACCCATGCTACATAAGGAGCTTCTGCTGAAAAATCTCTTCTTCCCAATAGAACCTTCTCTTTTCTATGAACTTTATTGCAAGCGCTTTTTACCCTTTTCAACAACTAAGGGTTCCCCCTTTGTCAAAGAAAATAGTTTCCTTCACTTTCTCACCCTTTGGCTGGTCCTTCATGGCATACCCTAACTGACGCAGCTAGAGGACATGATTGTAGTTGATTACCCCTTTTTTCCCCATAAAAGGAACATTAGGGAATTCCCCCTAACTCATAATGACTTCAGCACTATCAAAAAATTGATTAAACTAGATCACGTCATGAGAAGTAAGAGCCCTAAGTCTTTGTGACAAGATGAGGGAATATTTGGTGTCCACAAAAGGTCCCCTTATAGGTAGGTGAAGCATGAACCCCTTGTATAGTAGGGGAATACAATATGCAACAACCTCTACCTTCCCATGTGTGGAATGAATGGAGTGATAAGCATCCGCCAATAGAGTGGGCACCAGATTTTTTTCATAAAGACGCAGAAAGCAACCAAATCAATAAGGTTCTCCATATGGGGAAAGAGAACTAT